AAAGCAGCAACGTGTGTTGCCCCACCTTGGTGAATAGCTAAGGCTCTCCACCTTACTATGTAATAGATGCACTGAGACAAAAAAGGGGGGCAAATGAAAGAACACATCAAACCTCCAAAAAATATAACTAAGCAATGAAGTGATATCCAACCTATTTGATGCAGAGTTCAAAACACTGGTAATCATGATGCTTATAGAACTGATTGAGTATGGTCTCAAAATAGAGGAAAAAGTGAAGGTTATGAAAAGTGAAATAAAGGGAACCAACAGTGAAGGGAAGGGAACCAACAGTGAAGGGAAGGAAACCAGGACTCAAACCAATGGTTTGGATCAGAAGGAAGAAATAAACAACCAGAACAGAATGAAGAAAGAAGAATTCAAAAATATGAGGAGAGGCTTAGGAACCTTTGGGGCAACTTTAGATGTTCCAACATCTGGATCACAGCAGTACCAGAAGGAGAAGAGGAAGAGCAACGAATTGAAAACTTATTTGAAAAATAATGAAGGAGAACTTCCTTGATCTGGCAAAGGAAACAGACTTCCAGAAAGTCCAGGAAATTCAGAGTCACAAAGAAGATGGATCCAAGGAAGCAGACACCAAGGCATATCATAATTACCCTACTACTCAAGATTAAAGATAAGGAAAGAATCTTAAAAGCAGCAAGAGAAAAGGAGACAGTTACCTAAAAAGGAGTTACCAACATACTATCATCTGATTTCTCAAAAGGAAACTGGCATATAAGAAGGTCATGAAAGGCAAGGACTTATATCCAAGATTACTGTATCCAGCAAAGCTATCATTTAGAATGGAAGGGCAGATAAAGTGCTTCCCAGATAGAAACAATTTCGAGGAGTTCATCATCACCAAGCCCTTTTTATATGAAATGTTAAGGGGATGTACCTAAGAAAAAGAAGATCAAGTGACAGCAAACTCACAACTATCAACAAGTGAACCCCCCAACCAAAAACAAACTAAACAAACAACTAGAACAGAAATAGAATCACAGAAATGAAGATCATGTGGAGGGTTGTCAGTGGGGAGGTGGAGGGGGAAGAAAGTGGAAAAGGTGCAGGAAGTAAGAAGAAAAAATAGTAGGTACAATATAGACAGGAGGAGGTTAAGAATAGTTTTGGAAATGTAGAAGCCAAGGAACTTATATGTATGACACATGGACATGAACTAATGGGGTGAATGCTAGTGGGAGGCTGGGTGCAGGGCTGAGGAGAATAAAGGGGATAAAATAGGACAATTGTAACAGCATAATCAGTAAAATATATTTAAAAAGAATAATGTATATTGTATACTACCTTTGTGTACTAAGGGAGGAAATTAGAATCTATAGATAGATGCATATATATTGACATATGTACATTCACGTCTGCATAATAAAATCTAGAAGGATGCCCAAGAAACAAAAGTGTGACTTGTAAGAGGTTGGGGATGTAGAGATAGAAGCTGAAACAGGATTTCTTTTTTTTTTAAATTTATTTATTTACCTTTAGAGGGGAAGGGAAGGAGAGAGGGAGAGAAACATCAATGTATGGTTGCCCTTTGCGCATCCCCTGCTGGGAACTGGCCTGCAGGGAACCGGCCTGCAACCCAGGCATGTGCCCTGACTGGGAATCGAACCGCGATTGCCTGATTCACAGGCCCAAGCTCAATCCACTGAGCTACACCAGCCAGGGCTTGAAACAGGATTTCTTAATGCATTTCTTAGAATGTTTTGTTTTGGGAGCCTTATGAAGGTATTATCTAACAATTTTATTAGTGTTCTTCTCTGCACATTATTTTTTCAACAACACTTCCTGACTGATATTTCATTTCTTTAAGTAATCTACATGTTTTGAAGATGCATACTAATCTGTCATATGACATTCTTTTGTTTCTTCTTTCAGTTTCTTATTGGGCCTTTGGGTTAATTTGGGGCTGCTGTAAGTAGTGCTATAATGAATGAACATACTCACACATAAGTATTAGTCAATGTCATCCATTTCCTTAGGAAACTGATGGGCCGATGGTTAGAACACTTTCCAGGTTGTAGCACCTTCCCCTGTGGGATGGGCCCTGCAATGGCTCCTGGCTGCCTGAGAGTGGAGACAGTGACACCAAAGCTCAGGAGGTATTTCAGTCATTTAATGGCCTCAAGCCCCACTACACATTAGAATTACTGAAGGAGGCTGTTTAAGTCTGATGCCTGACCTGTGAGAAAGTCTGGGCCTTTAAAGGCTCCAGGAAGAGAGCCATTGGTACAATGGGTAAAACAGCAGAGTTTAAGTCAGATGGCCCTGGAATCATTTGGACCCCAGAACTATCCTGTGATTGGCCTTGGGCACATTTCTTAGCCTCTCTGGTCTTCCCATAAGCAAAAGGAGCGTGATACCTGCACTGTGGTACAGTGAGAGCATTCGACACAGAGCATGCACACTGCCTGGCAGAATTCTTGGTGTTCACTATGTTTCAGGTACTGGCTGTTATTCAAACAAAACAAAAAAGAACAAACAAAAACAGTCTGAGAGAGCCTGACAGACACCATGCATTTACCCAAGTGAGTAAATGAAAGTGTTGGGTTTTAAGGTATTTGCTGAACTGTATCATATTGATATAGTATCTCTGGCTATCTTATATTACTCACAACTTCTAATTAGCAATTATATTGGACTTGAGTAAAGAGAAAATTGAGTATTACTTAACTGTAGCCTGCCTGACTGACATAAAGCCCTCAAAATATCTATGAGTTTATGAAGAAAGGAATCCCAAAACAGTGGGGAGAATTCATAATGGGAAAAACGAGAATGGTTGCCTTGAAGTTTGCCTTTTTTTCTGGTTGAGAAGTGTGTGGAGTATGCTAGCTCTGTAAAGATTAGAGACAAGTGCTTTTGTATGGAATTGTGTAAATCTTTGACCAGCTGTTCCTTTGTACACCTTTGGATGCAGCCCCTTGTTCTGGTATTTCTTTTATCCAACCAAGTGGCATGCACTTTAATGATAGATGTGTGATTGGTGGGTGGGAGGCCACCATTTAAAAATCTTCCCAACACGAAAAATTGTGTGGCAGATTTGTTAGAACCCTGTAATTGTTTGAACAGGACAGGAGTAAGGAGAGAAATTATATACAGGGAAAGAGACAGTTCTCTTCATCAGCTCTTAGTCTAATAAGAAGGATATTTTCCAATCTTAATTCAAATGTAAAAGAACCTGTTTGTACTCTAGTAACAAGTCACATAGAAATTATCAGCAGAGCTCCTGTAGCCAGATTGTTTGGGTCCAAATCCCAGCTCTACTTGTTATTAGCTGTCTTAACTATGGGGATATTCTTTATGCCTTCTTTGCCTCAGTTTCTCCATCTGTAGAACAGTCATAATTGTACGTGTTTCATGGGGTTCTTGTGAGATACAAGTTAACACATGCTTAGACCAGTACTAGTAAGCAGTATGCAAGCATTTGTTTAGTACTTCATTAGGGTCCTTGCATTTGTAAATTGTGCTAGAAATCTGAAATTCTTTAGAATTTGAACACTTTCTTCTACAGATGGGTAAAAATAGGCACTATGACATGATCAAGAACAAATGACACAGCCAGTTCAAGCCAGACCAAGTATATGAGGCTTTAAGTATGGAGCTTGAGGTGAAAGTTCTGGCCCAGTGTTCCTCCCACCACGCCAGGTGGCAGTGTTATTGTGATGGAAAAGTACTGGACCAAAAAGGAAGTACACTCACCTCCTACCTCAGAAATGCCCACAAATAACCAGAGGCATCCACAAGGTGACTCTTAGGGACTCTGGACATATTCAGTCAAAGACAGGAGCTGGAATGTCAGAATGGTGCACCTAGTGGCACCGTCAAGGACTTGCTTTGCCTGAGACTCTCAGCTCATTTTGTTAACATCCCCAAAGGGGAGCTGCATATCTAGGACACACATAAAATAAGGTAGGATTTCATACCGTTGGTAATAAAGGGAACAATTATGGTTCTACAGAGTACAGAGATGAGGAGAAAATACAGACGCACCCACAAGTCCCTAAGAAAAGTCTCACTGACTTTGTTCTCCAAAGCAGTGCATGATTTTTCCTTCCTGGAGAAAGTGGGTGAAGGAGAAGGCAACAAATGTGGGCTCTGAGTTTAGAGAGACCTGGCTGAAATGACTATTGTGGACAAAATGGTGACCATGAGCAGATAACATAATCTCTCCGATCTATTAACTGTGGACTACACCTGCCTCCAAGGGCTCTGAGAGGGTTAAATGGGATTGCCTGGTGCATAGCAGAAACTTACTGAGTCCCTATTCCATCCCTGTCTAAGTTGTCTTCAGGGAAATATGATTAGAGATGATTGTCAGGGTGTGTGTGTGTGTACCCGATCAATTATTTTGTAAAGTCAAGCAACTAACAGCAGCTGTTGAAGACTTGCATGTACCAAACATTATTAACTCATCTATTTGACACAACTCCAGGAGACCAGACACTGTTACTTCATCTTACACATGAGAAAGTTATGTCACATAGAGTCCAAATAGTTTGTCTGAGGGCACACAGATACCAATACTAGACCCAGGATTCAAATCCAGGCACTTCGGGTTCGGAGGGGAGGGGCCAACCCTCCACCACACTGCCTCTCCAGTGTCAGAGCAGTTCTCCTGGGTCATTGTGAGGCTCAGGAAACCTGAAGCTTGTGAAACGCTGCTATAGATCTGAACACAGAGTGCCAGTCATGGTAAATGTTACACTGTCACCACTGGAATTTCCCAAACCAGTGAGTATGAGTATGAATATGGTGACCTTTGAGAGAGAAGTAACCTGGCCACCTTCCTTTGGCCCTGGCCCCCCTTTGGACCCATGCCCCATAGAAAGGATTATAACTATAGTCCCAGGGAAGGAAACACAAGGGTAGTATTGACCATGATGACATTGCTGAATCTGATAGCTCATTTGCCATGTTCTCTCTTATCTGGGACTTTCACTAAATGTATCTAACTAAAGTAAACAGACAAAGCAAACTTTTGATTTAAAAAAAATTTATTGTGCCAGTTATAAAACACAACATACAGAATAAAAGTAACTGGAAAGGTAGCTTCTGGGTGTGAGAAATGGACAGCTTTAAGGCAGGTCCCTGGTTAAAGAGCACTGAAGAATGGGACAAGGAGCTGCATGCTGTCTGTACTCAGAAGGCATGGTTACCTGGCTTGGCTAGAGGAGCTGATAGAGATTATAGGAAAGGTGGTGCTAAAGGGCACCCTTGGGCCCTGCACCAGAGGCGTGGCCAAATTGGTTATTGTTACAGAGAGAAATTGTCTTTTACCCAGTGTTTTGAAAACCAGTATGGGATAATGATGTGATAGAAAAGTGCATGGGGACTGAAATAATCCAAACCCAGATAGGAAGACCAGCTACACCCTCAGCAGACACGTCCAGGGAAAAGAAATGAAGAAAAATTGGGCCATCATGTGTTATGCAGTCTTTCCACGGCCACAGACTGCTGTTCTCCTAAACAGACAGAAGGAAATGATGGCAAAGTAGACCAGGCTCTTGAGGAGGAGGAGGAGGTAGGTGTAGTAGGCGGAGGTATTGGTGAGCTGCAACCGCAGTAAATCTAGGAGAAATAATTTAATTAGTTTCATCTGTTCTTTTGAAAGGATAGGAGACATTAATGGGAGGGGCTGTAATCATTTAGTTTATGATCTACATTGAGGTGACACCTCCACACCACCAAACCCCCAAATATACACACATCTGCTACCACCACCACCAAAAACAAGAAAACTTACCATGACACTTGCAGGTCATGTCACTTACAGCACTCCAAATATTAAAAACTAAAATTGTGTTTTTAATGAGAGTGTCCAATGAGAATATAGAATTTGTGGTAAGTAATTTTGCCATTTCTTCACCACTACTCTGTCTCCAATTAATAATGAAAGTTCATTAATGTTCTTCATTAGCCACTAACCAAATCGCAAACACTCTGTGAGCTTTTATTAAAAACTTTAATGTTATGTAATTTTATAGTGATCTATGAAATTATTATTTTAGTTTCCATTATAAAAATAAAAGAGTGACACAAAGAGAAGAAATTTGCTTGATGTTATGCATTTAGTAAGTACCAGAATCCAGATTTCAATCTCAGCAACATGACTTCACAGAACACATTTTTATTCCCTCTGTAATTGTGTATCTCCAAGTTCAATGAATAATACCCTGACATCAAAGGGTTAAGGGTTAATATAAAGTTGACTTGCTAGTTTATCAGCATCTGAGTCGTTGTATGTGCAAGCAATATAATTCCTACTAACGGTACAGTCCTTGAACATATATGGTGGTGGTCACAGCAGGTGGCTGCCGGTTTTAGCAGAGGACATTATGTTAATGGGAAGAAAGTGGTTCATGAAAATGCTCTGAAACTTTAAGACATCACAGCTCTTTCACCTGTTTTTCCTGAGTATCCTTCATTGTGGCTAAGACACTATAGGGTAACTGCACTTAATATCTTTTAAGTTTCACAAGAAATATATGATGTCAAGAAATAATGACAGTATGCTGGGCCCAAATGCTACACAGTAAACCACAATGCCAAGTCCTTTCCTTTGGAAATTTCCTTTTGACAAGCTTTATCTCCATAGTGTCAGAACTCCAGAATCATTAGTACTTGGTGTGGAAAGGGACCTCAAGGGCTGATGTGCTTAGAAATCCTTTGTGTTCACCAGGTAAGGTGTTAGTTGAGGTCCAGAGCCTCCTTGATATTGGAAATGGAGGAGAGCTCAGCAGAGCTAGAACCAGTGCTTCTAGGGGATTTCCCTGTACACATGCAGGGAGAAAAGGCCAGAAAATTGTACATATTCTATGCCAGCTAAATGAGATAGCCTATGCTGGACATTCCACATATGTAACCTTCTTTCCACAATAACTGGGTTTGATCTAATCATTCCTGGTTGGCAGGGGAGGAAAGTATTTCAGAAAATGTAAGTACCCATACTCATGTCACTAGTAATTAAAAAAAACTGGGGTTGACCTGGCTGGTGTAGCTCAGTGGATTGAGCATGGGCCTGTGAAGTAAAGGGTCCCTGGTTGGATTCCCAGTTATGGTACATGCCTGGATTGCAGGCCAGGTCCCTGCTAGGGGGCACATGAGAGGCAACCACACACTGATGTTTCTCACTCTTTCTCCTTCCCTGCCCCCCTCTCTAAAAATAAATAAATAAAATATATTTTAAAAAACTGGGGTTGAAGCACAGTCCATGGTACTGGGAAGCCAGGCACTGCCCCCAAGCCCTGCCCCTGCCATGCATCCATTGTGTCTTGGAGTCTTGGCTTTGGGCTTTATTACTCAGTGAGTTGACTCTCAGGAAGAATAGAAAACTGAGTAAGTGTATGAGCTCTTGATTCTGATGGCCTGGATTAAAACCACAGATCTAGCTGCTTGACTTGGTGTAACAGACATCATTTTATATAATTGCTCTCATCTGTGAAATGGGAAAATATATTGTACACTCCACAGTATTAAGAGAATTAAACATTTCAGTTCAGGTTATTACTACTAGCAAGTACCAAAGACAAAAAAAAATCTAAAAGCAAGTTGATATCCCATGTTCCCTAGTCATTAAAACAAAAGCCATACAAATGAATAAAGTCAGTGTTGAAATAATCTCGAGCATATCACAGCACCCTCTGATTCACTGACATCTCACCCCAAAACCCAATGTTCATTGTGTGAAGATGACTACTAGGAAAGGATGGATTGGCTTAAAATAGCAGTTGGTCTATTCTGCAAAATCCAGCCATTCTCGTTATGCCATGTTAAGCCATAGAAATTCAAAACTTATGTTGATCAGGAGGGAACAATGGAATGGCATTACCTAAAAGAAAATATATGCAGATACTTACCACTTTTATCTTCCAGACAATCATCTACTGTAGGATTAGTACCAGCAACCTCTACAAGAAATGAGAGCAACTATGAAGAATTTGTTTGTAATCATTATTTGACAGCGTGTGTCTGTGTGTAGAAAGACAGACACATAGATGACAGATAGATAGATAGATAGATAGATAGATAGATGATAGATAGATAGATAGATAGATAGATAGATAGAGGTAGAATCTGCCCACAGAGAGGAGAGAGTGTTAAAAATATGAGTTCCCCATTTGAGGAAGAGATGCTCAGACTCCGTGTAATTCAGTAAATTGAATTCACATATTGTGTTTCTGCACATGAAGATGCTGCTCATGAAGAGTACATTCTTTCTTTTTAATCATAACAGGAATGGACAAGACTACCTGTTTCCTCTGCAGTCATTGCTCCTAGCACAGTGTCCACCACAAAGCAGCTGTTCACTAAAAACTTGCTGAATGGAAAAAATAAACAGAAAAAGGAACTGCTCTACAGTCTTCAGCATGCACTGCTGACATGAGCAGTTGCTACCCAAATTAATTCGTTTAATCACAGAATCCACAAAAGAATCTTACATACTTGAAATAGTCTTATTTAGGAAAATTTCCCATCTAAAGCTGTACCTTTCCCATGCACACATATCCCCAGTGACCCCAACTCATGCACACAATTTTCTGGAGCTGTGGTCTTCGTGGACACGACAACAACATTAACGAAAGCTAATGTCGAGTGATTATTACTGTGTGGCATAATGTATGTTAAATGCTTCAGTTGTGTTATCTCATTTAATCTTTCAGTAACAGTGAAGTGAGTTGTATTTTGGAGTCCAAGTTACAGACAAGAAGATGAGGTGCAGAGAGTACCCGTAACTTGCTGAGAATCATACCCGTTGATGGCAGAGCGACCATTCAAAAGATTGTAGTGAGAGAGTAAATGGAAGAGAACATGTGGAAAGTACCCCGGACAACAATCCATAGAAATAGAAAATAATCCATAGAGACAACATAATTCCAAGATATTGGATTCTAAAACATCATCTCTTCTAGATATCTTAATTATATTTAGTAAATGACTGTTTTATTTCAGTAACTCTGCTTTTCCGTGAAATACTATGCAGGAATAAAAAGATAAACCAAGTCACATTTATAGTTCTCTGAATATATAAAACCTGAGATAAGAGTTGTAATTTATCTACAATGTTTTTTAAAAAGCAAATGTACATACAAAGACCAAATTTCTTTAACAGTTCATGACTGTTGGAGGAAAACAGTCGCAATGGTTGCTTTAGTTTATCCTTTTTCTACTAGGTGTGTTCTTGGCCATATAGATACAGTTCCATTTTGCAATTCTATGTGCTCACGTTTTCTTGGTGTGCACTAAAGAAATGGGTGTGCGGTATATAGCCTTTGGGGTAAATGCCAAGATTGAAAATGTTAGTATAATCATGTTTAGATGTTAAAATAGCCTCAAAACTCACTTTACTGTCTCTTAAAATTCTCTTATTTTCCTTAGAGTGACTTTATTCATTAAAAGATAAATAAAAATTATCACCACCATGTATTGCTTGACATAAAAACAATACATGATCAATTTGTTTGTAATAAAATCCATGGGTGTAACCTAATACTTTTTCTTAATATGGTCAAAAACTTCAACCGGATTAGTTTTGTGTCTCTTCAGAATCGTTTCATTGATTTGTGCTTCCATGTTGTAGTTTTAGCTTTTGTCAAACAATAACAACAAACTTCCTAACAACAGCACTAGAAATTTGCCATAGGATGACATTAAAAGAAATACCCTCATTAGCTTTGTTGCCATGTTGCAGAAATTAAATGGCAAATAAGCACCGTATAAACTGAACCTTCTCTTTTTTAAGATAGTCACCCCTGATCACTAGAAAAATGAAAACATACTAGAACACTTAGGCCCTGTGATTATATTAAACTTGTGCTCTGCATATTGCTTTCTCTCTGCTTCTTAACCATAGAAATAGGGATAAATTAGAGCTGTTCTGGCAATCTTTTGTTTTACAAAAATGTAAAAAAATACCGGTATATGAATAAATACATCCATGTTGTATTTCTAAAAGCAAGCATTTTCACTGACATGATTTCATTTGCTCTTCAGCACAGCCCCGGGAGAAAGCCCAGGCCAGGGTTCAAACCTGATTTCATCATTGGGGAAACTCAGGACTGAGAAGGAAAAGCTTACTTCCGAAATTCTGACTGGTACACAGCAAAGATCTTAGCACACCTTGTTATGGGCTTGTTCCCCACTGCTTAAAAGGCCTTGTTAACCATGGGGAACAGCACCAACTGATTCCTTCTTATGGGCACTCTGGGGCCTTTGGTCTGATTTGTTAACACTCAGCACTTTAAGTTCTGAGTCTAGGGAGTTCCCAGACCACTGCTGGGGCTAGAGCACATTCAGCATTCTGCCCACAATGTCTAAATATGTACGGAATCTGAGTCAAAGGCCCTCCTTTGGGACAACATGCCTGAACCTCGAGTGGCCCCGAATGTTTAGGGAAAGAGGATATTCTCTTCACTGTGTGCACCTTCTCGGGGCAGCAGTTCATCCTAGTGTGTTCGTCCACAGGCTTCCTGGCCTGACTCCCGCCACTACTGCATTGCCTGTGTGTTTCCCATGGCAAGATACACGTGCGCATTATGCAGGATGGAAATCTGTTTCTACACGTCAGCATCACCCAATCTTTAATTAGGAAATTTACCTACAGCCTACAGTGGTACATGAAATACAAATCCGAAAAACCTAGGAGCAGAAAAACACCCACCGCAGGGCTAAATCATTCTGTTTTTGTTGAACCTTGATCTGACTTCTTCAGAAGGATACCACCTGTTACCTAACAATTCATTGATTTTACTTTGAGTATAAGTGGCACTGGAGTGATTGTGACTTTGTGGCTCAGGAGAAAATTCCTGAAAGATATGTAATTCTTCTTATTTTCTGATCAAATGAGATCATCAAAGGCAGAATCTCCCCTGGCTAGTGGCTCAGTGGATTGAGTGCCAGCCTGCAAACTGAAGGGTCACCAATTCTATTCCCATTCAGGGCTCATGCTTGGGTTGTGGGCCAGCAGGGAGCTCACCAGAGGCAACTATACAGTGATTTTTCTCTCTTTCTCCCTCCCTTCCCCTCTCTAAAAATAAAGAAAACATTTTAAAGTGAAATCTCTTTTTGAACATTTATTGTGTGATAAATTGCTAGGTACTTTCATGTATGTTGCTTCATTTAAACCACACAGCAACCATAAAAATCATCACGTGACTTTAATATTTGGATGATAAATTTGAAGCCGAGAGGAGTAAAATTATTTAATTCCTTACCTTTTAATGTTCCAAAGCATATACTATTTTAATTCTGTGGGAAAATAGCAGGATATTTTGCTACTATTAATTGTAGCAACATTTAAGAAAGATTTATATATCCTTCTTTTATTAATATCTGACAGACACTTGGGGCAGTCACTCTGGGAACAGAAGTGTTTTGGGAGGTGATATGTGTATACACATACCTTTATTTATTGAAGGAAAAAGAATCTCTTGATCAACTCCTCTTTTATTATTCTCGTGTTTGACGATGCATTTGTGTTCTTTACCCATTGACTTTGCAGTCACGGTCAGCCAGCTGAATTTCATGTACGTGTCCTTAGTCTTCATGGTATTTCCCTGCTGGGATGCCAGAATTGCATTGCCATTCTTTTCCTTCCAATATACCTTAATAACATCAGGGGAAAACTTCTCAAGGAGACAAAGATATGTCCCAGCCTTATGAAGGTTTATTTCCTCAACTGAAGGAAGAAAAATCGTGGGTTTAGGAGCAGTATCTGATGAATCAAGGCTTCTCTCTGTAGGGTGAAATGGAACAGTAATTAAGAATTAGAGAAACGCAGGATTGTGTGGTGTGGAACAACCTGGCATATAGTAAAAGGAAGAAAAGCTGCCATTGAATTAGTGCTTATAATGGCTTTTCGTCCATGATATATTGTGATATATTGATTATTGTTCTTATTTTCAGAGGGGAAAAGAAGTTCAAGAGATTATGCAACTCCCCCAAAGCCATAGCTATTAAATGGCACAGCCTGAATTACATCTTGACCTTTGTTCTTTTTCCACATGCTAAAATGGGGTGTGACTTTTAACAACTCTAACATTTCCGAACTTGTTAATTTGCTTTAATGTGTTTGATATTATGACAGATGGGAGGTAGATGATCAGAATACAAGAAAAGACCTGGAGGTAACTGAGATTATCTCTCTTCAGATGAGAATATTTAGTGGCTTATAAAGTGCAAGAAAAAAACCAGACACAGAAACAGTATGATTATTGCCAGAGGGAAAGCGGGTGGGGGCCAGTAGAAGAGGGTCAAGGGAGGCTGAGTGGTAATGGAAGGAGACTTGAGTTTGGGTGGTGAACATATGATACAGTATACAGATAAAGTATATTATAGAATTGTGCACCTGAAACCTGTATAATTTTATTGACCAGTATCACCCCAATAAGTTCAACAAAATAAAAAAAATTAGAAGTACTTATCTCTCCCCTGGAATTTTGTAACATAAGCTCTCTTTGGCCACACATTCTTGTGTTCTGTAACTCTGTGGAAAATCACTCTCCATTCAGCTAATTCTGGAATGCAATATATTACCTTTTTTCCATAAAAATAAATGCCTGGGGAAAATTTTTATTTTTTCTAAACAGTATACTGTCATTTGTTTTAATGGGAACCTACTTTAAATTATTTTTTACTTTTAAAAAGGAACTCTTGCCCACTTCTGAAGTAATAGATTTCTCCCTGTTGATTTCTAATTCCACATAATATCTTAATTTTATATCTAAAACACTCCAAAATTTTTGAACAACCTTTAAGACTGCACCTCCAAATTATTTATGACTTTTTAAATTTAGAAGAAAAAAACAATAATTTGCATACTACTATTAAAATTTTTATTGATTATTTTTAAAAAACACTCATATTCATCCAGTGAGTATACATCCTTAACAGAATCTAATTTGGCCTTAGAAAAGGTTCACCAAAAGTATGTTTTATTCTGAAATGTCACTTGAAGATTAAACATGACTATTATACTATATTTTAAATACACCATATTTTCTCACTGTGTGTCACCCGTAAAATTTATACCTACTCTATATGCTGATGAGCTAATTTTAGAGCTTGATTAATCTGCTGAATCAAACACATACATAATTAGAGTAATGTTAAAACTTATGATTCTAGAGTTTTTTTGCCTGTATAATGTCAAAATATATAACGAATATATATTTATAAAAGTAGGTTCCATGAATCCTGAAATTTTACTTGTTTATACATTTATTATTAATCTAATGATTGAAATTATAAATGTTAGAGCCCTTTCCACTTTGATTTCTAATTAAAACACAAATTCTTTACTATATTATCTTTGGACTAGGTTGGAGTTAGTTTAGCAATTCAATGGGAAATTTTTTTAAGAAAAAAAATTGGATTTCTCATTTGAGAAGAAGAGGAAAAAAGTTTTAAGTATTTCTTCCTGTGGGACAAAGCTCCTAATTTTTATACAAAATCAGTAAGCAAACAATGTTGAGTTTTCATCTATCATGTTGAAAACATAATTAAGTTATAATGTGCTTATAATGTGCTTATTTTATGCATCTTTCTTTTAGTGAAGTAGTACTTTATTGACTACAATAGCAAGATGTATATTTCTCCAACCAAACACTTTTTTTAATTTTAAAAACATGTTATATAAAATAATATTAATGTTAACTGTACATTATATTTGCATAATTTTAGTCTGCAGTCAATACATTAAAAATAACTTTTTTCGTCATAGTAATACTTCTGGTTTGTTATAGTAAAGAAATTGAAAATCAAATGACAAACTTGTAATATTTCTGCATGGTAGCACAGCGTTCTCATTGCCTGTCCCTTTTCCTTCGCTAGATTCTTTGTGTGTCATTCTTTTCAAGATAAAATGAGTCTTGAACTTCCATACCTTTCTCCATGCAATAGTTACTGAGTATTAATAGTGCACTTAGTTATATACATGGTTAGTACTTATAGCTGGATAATTGTATTACATGTTTTCTGTTTAAATATTTTTAACTCATTAAAAGTGTCTTATGTTCAAGTCCTTTTCATGATGCATGAATTAGAAACAAGATAAAAAGTAAATAATCCTTCAAATACATTTCTATAAAGTCATTTGCATGATGAAATAATACACCTGAGTTAAATTGCCTGATTTGCTTATATTTATTCAGACACAACAGCTAAAATTCTATATAAACTTAACAAAGTTTACATAAATGTCAACGATATTTTCAATAGAAATTTTGGTATTTCAAACGTACATATTGATATTTTCTTCATTTTTACTGACATCTTTCCAGGTCATGCTGCAAATTCAGCTTGAAAACCCTGGCAGTGGCCTTCAAGCCAGAATGATAAGAGAAATGGCAAAACATGTGTCCTCAAATTTCCATATTGTCATGTTAGATTGCTAAAATGTTATCTGATTTTATCTGCTGAGGGTCACCAACTGTGAACGACATCAAATGCTATAATGCTCATAGCACTGACGCAATGACAATGTAAGACAGGTTTGATTAAAGACCATTTCTTCTATTTTATACAATGGATGTTGGACATAATATTTACTTCATTTTCCTCCTAATAAACTCATGCATTGAAATTATTTTCTAATTATATAGTAAAAATCTGTTTGAAAATTGGGTAGAATGCTTTATTTTATTAATTAATAAAAAGTATTACTCCAGTACTGTTTTTGCTACACTTTTTTTAAAGTTTACATTTGAAAAATTGAGATATAACTGACATAACTCTCCTACTTTTGAGTGTAAAATTTTATCCCATGCTTCATACTGGATAATCAATTACTGGCCTTTTTTCTTCTGATTTCTGTAGTGCTTTTGATCTTCTATTCTTATTTAGTGGTCTAACTACAACTTTGATTTAAAGTCTTCTCAAATAGATGTTGGAAACAGGCAATTTCAGTAAATGAAAAATTATTTCTTTTTCTGCCATGGGGTTGATAATTTAATAAGGTTTAATTTAAAGATGACAGGAGAGCTGAGAAGACAGGTTCCTAAATCCTTGCTCTGTGAGGTAGATGCAAAACGTGGAATTCAAACATGCTGAATGTGGCAGAACATAAGGTGAGGCCTTCCTTCCCAGAATTATCCCTCACAAAGCAGGGGCTGCCTTATATTTCAGTTCTTGTGCAAACTCTCATAGTGAAAAATGCTCTTCTTATTTTTAAAAAATACTACTTAGATATCAAACTAAATTCTATTTTAATTCATTAAAAAAACTTACCTATAAGTGGAACCTACACAACAAACAAACAAGCACAACAAACAAACAAGCAAAATATATCCAGAGACATTGACATTAAGAACAAACTGACAGTAACCGGAGGGGAGGTGGGAGGGGATAATGGGGGGACAAAGGGGGAATGTTTTTCAGGAACATGTACAAATGATGCATGGACAAAACCAAAGGGGTGTAGGATTGAGGGTGGGAGGAAGGGATGGCTGGGGTGGGGGAAAATGGAGACAACTGTACTTGAACAATAATAAAAATTAAAACAAAATAAAAAAATACTAGTTGTAGAGCTAGCACTGATAATGGACAGTAAAGAAATTTAACATAGATTTGATATATTATTAGAGACTAAAGCCTCTACAGTTTATGCTTACATTACACACGTAACAAATAACTGAATAAATGAAAAAGTACTTTTCTTTCATTTTGTAAATGGTAATTGTCTCTTCAGATGAGATTTCCATGGTATCATCATATAGGGATCCCAAAACATCAGTAACTTAGAAATTTCTCTAAAGTAGATGTTTTAGATGCATGAGAAGAGTGAATAAAATTTTTAGTGAAATATGAGGGCAAAAAAATCACCCGATATTTGTATTGATATAATTTGTATTAATATTTCTTACTTGATATTTGTTGATATAATTATTAACTTTGTAGCTATAATCTGATTAAGAAGCTAAATGTTATAATTGGATATTTGATTTTATGATACTATAAATTGATATATGCAAGTTACAACCCCATTTTTAGCTTCTAGAATATTTCTACTGAAAAATGAGAGATCACCTTATATTTCAGATAATGTTTATCATAATCTAGTCATTTTTAGAAGCATGTAACAATTAGTCTTGGAAATTGAAAGCATTTTGCAGATACTGACCATTTGTCTAAAGCAACCTGCAGACTAGATAAAATTAATGTATTTAGCAGTACTCCTGATTTCATAAAGAACTCCAAATGGTGGTAATGTGAATTCTGAGAATTGACATTTTTATCGCTGACCATGTCCCGACATTTGTGGTAGGTAATTTTCATGTTTAATTTCATTTAATCCTCACAACATCCACTTCAGATGGTTGTTGCATATGTAGAATGAGTGGACAGCAATATATCAAAATAGTAAAAGTGATGTGTCAATATTAAATTTTAGTTTATATTTTCTTTTATTTAAAAAATTTTTATTGCCCTAGCTGGTATAGTTCAATGGACTGAGCATGGGCCTCCAAGCCAAGGGGTCACTGGTTTGATTCCCAATCTAGAGCACATGCCTGGGTTGTGGGCCAGGATCCCAGTGGGGGCGTGTGAGAGGCAACCACATATTCATGTTTCTGTCCCTCTTTTTCTCCCTCCCTTCCTCATCTCTAAAAGTAAATAAATAAAATCTTTAAAAATTTTATCATTTTTACAATATTCAAAATATTTTAATAATTAAAAATACTTGACATACAATATTATATTAGTTTCAGTTGTACAACATAGTGATCAGATATATAATCTCAAAATTGATCACCCTGATAAATCTAGTAACCATCTGGTACCATACATAGTTACTATAATGTAATTGTCTGTATTCCATATGCTGTACTTCACATCTCCATGAAAACTTGTAGAGAATTTTTATTAAAAATTTATTTGAGCTAAACAGAGGATATGCCTCAAAGCAAGATCTCAGCAGCATTAGAAAAATGTTTTCTTTTTCTTATTTATTTTTTGTATTTTCCATGATAGGCATGTACTATGTTTATAATTTTAATAAAGCAATAACCAATGAATCAGAATTTATTTGCTAAAGAATGATTATATAGAAATCATCCAAAATAAAAGTCTATGAATTTACCTGCCTTATGCTCTCCTAATAACATTTTCCAGGACCTTCTAGAATTATATGTTACTGCTATATATTTCTACAATTTACACTGAGTATGTAGTCAGTTGGAAAAAAACAGGACCAGAAAAGTGGCTTTTCAATTTCATAGGATCACAACCACTAAGAAAACCAAATACATTGTTTCTTTTTCTCAATGCTTCATCAACTTTGTGAAAGTTCTTTGAAAAGTCTATTAAAAACCTTTATTTGAATAGATCTGGTAGTCTAGAACATCCTTGTGAAATATACTTCCTTGTTCAGGCAGGCAAAATTTCATTTAAGACTAATGAAGAATGAACAAATTTGCTAGACGTAATTTAGAATAAAACAAATATGATAAAATATTTTCATATTAATTATCCTCTGATCAAGTGACAAATGTGGCATTTTTTCCAAATTTTCTTATTGGTTATTTTTGTATCAGATACATAAGTTATATGTGTCTTTAAAACCCTTTTAGCATAAATATACCAAACAAACGGAACATCTCCACTATTTAGGTTCCCAGAGCTGCTCTTACTAGTTCATTCCTTATTGTTGCCCATGCTAGGTCAGGAGAAAATTGCCTCCCAAAACCTGGATGGAGCCATTAGCCTCTCTGGAGATCATCATGATATATAACAAAACTGGGACTGAACCCAACAATTCTGAGCCCACACCCACAGCCAGTCTGCATTACCTGCCTCCCCTCCCTACCCTAGCTGAAGAACCTAAAGAAAATTTACCTGAAACAGTGAGCTGTGTGCCAGGACCAAATACTTGGATTCTCTTGACTCCATTTGCCCACTATCTGAAAAGCCTATCTTTAAAGAAACATCCCTTTGTACCTGTTGTAAAGTTGTGCACATATTTTTCAATAGTTATATAAACATATAAAAATTGATCCTGTGACATTAAACAAAGATGAAGCTCAGGAAAAAACACATCAAATATAAATGCAGTCCAGAACTAAAGAACTGGCCCCTCTCTGCCTGGGCACCTTGGGTTATGTCCTTTTATCTTTTCTCACCATTTTTCCTGACTCTTCTACCTCTCCTCCCTGAAAGAGTTTTCATGTGTAATTTGTTTTTGCCTAGAGTATAATGTAGAGTTAATATTTCTTAGATTTTCAAAGAGAAACAACAATAGAAATAATATATTAGAGTATTTAATAGATGTATTTCAATATGTTTTACAGGTGTTTGTTATTTATATGTATCAATATTAAGAGGTGGGTATCTGGATTGATTTTAAAGTAACTTCTTTCTAGAATCCATTTCACACTGATAGACCAGATGTAAATTCTTAATGACCATCTATTGAGCTATTTATTGCTGAAAGACTGTTCCTTTGGACTTCTTACCCTTACAGTTTCCAGGGCATTTACTACAGCTGCTGTGCTGCTTATCAGATGCTCTAGTTCAGTTTGGTATTTCTGCAGCTGTCCCTTTCTGAGTGGAAAGGCAGCGATGAGTTATCCAATTTAGTTTGTAATGCAATTTACTACACTGATGTAGTTCTTTTTCCAGCTATAATATTTCTAGTAAGTTTGATGCCAATATAGACAGAAAATTGAACAGAATGATGTCAAAATGACTTGTCATTCTATAGAAATACCCTCAAAATCATATTTAAAGTATTTAATAAATGCATATTCAACATGGCTTACTTGATCTTTTTTGGAAGGAGAGAGGGTTTGCCATAATTAAAAGCAGAAGCATTGTTATCACATGAGTAGTAATTAAAATATGAGCTATTACTAGTTAAGTAGTCAATTAAACAGTTCATTTCAACAGTCATACTATAAGTAAACATTCAAAATGAAAAAATAACAATATTTCTAATATCATGTAATAGTCCTGACCATGTAATTTAAAACAGACAAATCTCAATTGAATCTTAAACTTTGCCATAATAACTTTTCATGTGACTTGAAGCAAATAAACAAATTACTCAAAGCCTCAGTTTTCTTATCTATGAAATGGGAATAAGGGGATCTCCTGTGCAGAACTATTGAGGAATTAGATAAGGTAATAAAAATTATTTATCATGGTGTCAGGCCTTCAATAAATACTAGCTAATAGAATTTTATTTAATGGAATGGTCTGGGGCCATTTTATCAATTTTTTCCACAAAACAAAATACAAGTATTGCATAAGCAATAACTCTTACAAAAATTAAGAAAGGTAATAACTTATGAACCCAAGACCTTCCAAGTCTATGGTAGCCACAGGCCAAAGAACATGGGGCCCAATCAAGCCAGAATCTAGAATACTTAGACACTAGACTGGAAGCTTTTTGAGTGCTGGCACTATACCTTTTCCATTCTTTTATCTCCAGCATTCAGAACAGAAACTGTCTGCTATAAATGCTTGCTGACACAGTGAATGAGCAAATGAGGATATAAAGCAATGCAAACTCTTTTCATAGACTGTGGAGCTGAAATGTTTTTTTGAACTAATAATTCCATTAAACTGGTACATCTTTAGGCAATATAACAAGACTTGTAATAGTATAAATTATGATGTTCTTTACTCATTCACTGTAAGAATTAAGTATTTGCATGGCTGTTAGGGGTGAGATAAAAAGCAAATAATTTGTCAAATTATTGAGAGAATGAAGCACTATATTTTATCACAAAATATAGAAATAATTAATAATAGTGTCTCTCAATTAAAAGACTGCCTACGAGAAAAATATCTTAAACAGATGACCTATACCAATGGTTTACAAACATGATACTTAACATATTTTAATTTCTAGCCTAGCCCACCCTTCTTTGTGTATGTATATTCTAACAAAGAATTTCAATCTTTTTACAAGCAGAGAAGGATTTATAAAGTAGTTTATAAAGTAGTTTTGTTTCCATATACAGTGACTAGTAGCTGCAAAATTGCTGTTCATATGCTGAGGCTGAGAATGTGGCAGTAAGAGCAGGGTGACCCTACACTGTTTTTATCTAATTGCCATCTACCAATTTTGAAAAAAACAGAAAAATAAGTTACTTACCATGGGGGATCACTATGAGCTTAGTCCCTTCTGCAAATACCTTGATCCAGCCTGAGTGATCACACTGGTTACAACTCCTACAAAAATCTCACCATTCTCCTAAGCTTCATGTTCTGACCAGCATTGCAAAACAAAACAAAACAAAAAAGGCCATTAGATCTTTTGGGTTCCTGTGGAAACCCTTAAATATAGGTTTTACGTTTTTCTCATATAAATTGACCCAGATATTTGTTTTCTATCAAGGCAGTAATTATTGAAAAGAAATGATAAGAGAATGAAAAGAATATAATCAGGAAAAGAAAGAGACCAAGCCCAACTGGTCAACCACAGCTTTTCTAAATTACCAGGAAATGTATTCAGAGAATTCAGACTTTTTTACTTCCATCTGTTCAATTGTGTGAACCTTCTCAGAGATGGCATCAAAAGGAAAGGCCCTTCCTCTGTCCTCACAATCATCAGGGCTGCTCCTTTACCAGTTTGGGAATGTGATTCTGAAAGGAGGAAACTCTCCACTAACTGGAAAAGCAAATTTGCAACACAAATATACTTGATAAATGTGAATAAACTTCATTTTTAATAAAGCTGCATTTATCATTTGACATTGTGATAATTTACCAGGCCAAAATAAGAAAATTATTTCTTGGTGACATTGCTATTTCTGGAATAAAGAAAAATATGTAGAATTCTGTCTCCTGTGAAATAACAGATGTCTTATTTAAAGTAAAATTTAAAAACAAAATCCAGTTCTATGATGTATTCAAAAAATAACCCTCTTGGAAATTGTTCTGTAATCTTATACCTCTTATCCTGGATCAGGGGAAAACAAGTGGAGAGAAGCTGCTGAGTGTTCCTGGGCATACAGATGATTTGCCCATCTGCCAGGACCCAGAGAGGACAGGCCCTGGTGACTCCCATGTGCACATCAGTTCCAGGTCCAGACCTGGGTTCCATGAGCAAACTTTGCCTCTGTCCCTGAGAATGAAGCTGTGACATGGTCCTGGTGGGAAACTGTACATTTGTAGCACAACCTAAACCCAACACAATGGGAGAGGATGTGGGAGTTGGCTAAAAAATATGTTTTAAAGGTTATTTTTTTATCTGAGCATGTCAAGTTATTATTACTTAGAGCTATCAAATACATTTTGCACCTATTGTAGTTGTAAATAATACCCACCCAATTTCTTTCTAATAATTTGTCCTCTTTATTTCCTTATTCTAAGACAATAGCAAAATTATTTGGAGCTTTAAGAGTTGTCTGTATTTCATGATCCATGAGGAATTTAAGTAATAAAATGTGAGAAAGTAAGTAAGGAGTTAAAAATCTTTTACTAAATTTACAAGAAAAGATGAGAACTATATGAAGAAAACAGTATAAGATTTTACAAACGGACATAAAAGACAACCTGAAAAAATGATAGATACACCATATTCATGAAGAAAAACCCAAAATAAAAATAATACTAACCCTCTTTATTTTATTTTATGTTTTTATAAATATTTTATTTATTTATTTTTAGAGAGAGGGGAAGGGAAGGAGAATGAGTGGGAGAGAAACAGCAATGCATGGTTGCCTCTCATGTTTCCCCCACTGGGGACCTGGCCTGCAACCCAGGCATGTGCCCTGATTGGGAATCTAACCAGCGACCCTTTGCGTCACAGGCCGTGCTCAATCCACTGAGCTACACCAGCCAGGGCAATACAAATCCTTTTTAAATTTAAACATATGAATTGACTGCTAATACAATCAGAATTATGACATTTTATATTTTGTTCTATGATGTAGAGTTAGGGTGGGCAAGGTAATTTGATTTTAAATGGTATTGTGGAGAATAAATATGAAATAATTTAAAAATAATTTTTGTAAGATATTAGTGAATAGACATTGGGCACTTACAAAGCCACTGATATAACATGATAATGGTGTAGAATATGAAGCAAAATAAAACAGAGATTCTCCACAAAATGTTCCAAGTATATGCTGATATTATAATATGATACAGAACATTGAAATTGTATGGATATGATAGATTACTTAAAATTTGACTTTGCACTATTGATGATTTGCTGTGAAATTGAAAATAGCTCTCTTCCTCATACCATATAAAATAGCTTCCTAGTAGATTAGTATTTAAATTAGAAAGTACCTAGAGATATGAGCTAGAAAAAACAAGTAGAAGACTCTTTGTTTCCATTGTCAGCAGAAGTTGACATGGAAAATGGACAAGAGATACTTTTGTTTTATAGTTAATTTTTGAGAAAGAGAAATGATAGAGAATTTTTATTCTATAGTATTTTCAAATGAACATTAAAAAAAAATAAATGATGAGTGTTGGGAACTGCCCTGCCTGGTTTCAGAAGCTGTAACCCACTGCCCCCCAACATGGCTGAGGCTGAGAAAAAAGGCTTTAGTCACATAAGCTGCCAAGGAGACAAAAACTTATCCCCTCTCTCATATCCTCATGCATGTCCTGGGCAGATGACCGGGTTATCCAATGACCAATGATGGGTAAGATTCTTCAAGGAAGGAATAACTAAGACACAGTAGTGTCCTACACAGTAGTGAAGGGACCACTAGGGAAGGACTTAGGGCACTATAGAAAAAGGGTGATGGATCTTCATCCCTCGGCTTTGTTATAGCCCGAGTCTTCATTCCACTACAGGAAGTCTCTTACTGTCTTGTCTACTTTGTTTTTCTGGCCTGACTCAAGCCTGAAAGAAGGCCAGATAATGGGGGCACAGGCCTATACTATTGTAGGCTGTTCCCTGGGGGCAATCAAGCCTGAAAAAGAATTAATGAAGTCCTGTGAATTGTGCTTTGTTAAGAATACCCTTAGGTTAATCTATGTTAGCTGTTTAGGCTTCAAACATAAAATGAATATTTTCCAAAGTTTTATGGCCCTTTGGTGTCATTCTATCTATCTGACCCTGACTCAGAATAAGCCCTTCTAGTTCTTTTAATGCTATCTTGTTCTTGATCATTACTGCCTAATAATTTATGAGCTTTAATGTATATGCCCTGTATTCCTATGTAAACTAAACTCAATAAAAGCACAGGGAAAGAGGTGCTTGAGGATCTTCTCCTCTGAGAGATTTGCCAGCCTTTTCTCCCCAAGCAGATCATATCTTGGTAGATTGATTCTCATCTGCAGCAGCCAGGAGAGCTCTGCAGGACAGAGTTCACCCACAGATGATGACTTAAGGAAAGGGATGTATCAGGTCTGTGCTTTAGGAAGATAAATGTATGAGCAGGAAGATAGGTTGGTCAAGGGATATTTCAAAGATAATGACCCTAAGCCAGTAAGAGGACTTTGAGGATCCATGTTATTATAGTGAAAGTGGGGAAGACAGAAGTGCTGAAGCAATCAATGTTAATAGATTTATTAGAGAAGTAAAAGAACTCACATGAGATAAATCAAATTACCATTAAGGAAATTGAAAGAGAAGGAAAAAGCATTTTTAAGTGAAAGATCAGGTTCTGGTTCCAGGTCTTTGACTCCTGGTGATGTGTCCTTAGGCCCTTCTTAGAGTCTGTTTCCTTATCTTTAAAATGGAGATAATAGTATCTACTTCTCAGGACTTTTGTCTAATGGGTTTAGAACAGATGACAGGAAAGTTCACCTACAGAGAATTCACTTTCTAAGAAACAATGGAAACATCTTAATCTTGTATACAAAAATAAATAATTTTGTCTCTAATTCTGCCTTATGTAACAAACACATTCACAACTCACTCTCCACATCCTGAGGTGACTAGCTAAGGCAACAAAAATTTTCCTTCAAACGTGATAGTGGATCAATAAATATATAAGTACTAAGCAAGTCGAGTGTAGTCAACTCAAGTTTCAACTGAATTGTTTGAAGTTTTGTATCACTTTTTCAGGTTTGATGATGATTTCATGGTTAACCAATTTCAACCAAATTTGAAAGACCATCAAAAGTTATGAAGATACTTACCCTCCTAAATTCAGAGAAATAATCCAGAACAGGCTCAGGCATGTGGTTCAGGGACAGGGGGACATACTCACCATCTTTCCTGAGTATCAGTGGTATCTCTCCCTTTGGGAGATCCTCCCAATTTTATGGGAAGTCTTTGCAGAAACAGTCAGTGTTAGGCTAGCAGGAAGAAGCAGGCAAAGGCAGATCCTGCGGTGCCTTGGGATGTTTGGTGAACCACTCCTGGTCCCTGTGTTAGTAAAAGCTGGCCTTCAAGTACAAGCTGGTCCTTCCTATGTGTAGTCAAGCTTAGTGGAGGATGCCACAAACTATGGATTGCTTGTAGCTTTGAACAGACTACCAAGAGCCAGACATGGACAGTATTTGACATCAGTTTACACCAGCATCAGACAACATCCAACTGGTTTTGAAATGGAAATCCTAGGATGTAGGTTGAAAGTCTAGTGAGATGAATTCTAATTTGTTCTTTTTCATTTTTTTACTTTTCCTTTTTCACAGCTTTTTAATTTTTATTATTTAATTATTATTTTTCTTTTCTCTGGTTTTTCTTTTAAATCTTTCATTTTACTCTTCTTACTATATTTTCTTCTTTCCTTTTCACAATTTTTTAATCTTTATTTGTATTTTGCCATTTTCATTTTTCTATTCCTTATTTTTATTTCTCTTCCTTCCCTCCTTTCATAATCATTATTTACTTCCTTTGGTCTTCTCATACTTTTAAAATTTTACTATTCTATTTCTCTTTACTTGTTTCTTATTCTTTGCTCTTTTGTTGTTGATTTTGCTGTTGATTTTTTCCTAGTATTTGCTTTGTTTTTTTTAAGTTGTTTTGTTTTGTTAGCACTTATACAACAGCTTGCAAGATGGAGTTGTGGTTGAGCCTCTCAGCCAGCCAGCCAAAGGGAAGATCCAACAAACAAATGGGCCAATAACAATAAAACACAATTACAACAGGAGAGCCCACATAGCACATACAAGGACATTCCTAAAACATTCACTTCAGGAGAGATCAAGTAGATTATACTACTGAGTCACACAGGACTCCATACCACAAAGACTGGTAGTCAAAATGCATGTATATAATACATAGAAGCAAATACAAAGAGGAAGCTAAAGTGAGGGTATAAAGAAACAGCCCCAAATAATGAACTGGAGGAAATTCTCAGAAAAAGAACCAATTAAAACAAGCAATTTATCAGGCCTGGAGTTTACAGCAATGGTTATAAGGATGCTCAAGGAACTTAGTGAGAACTACAAGGAACTTCAGTGGGAACTACTAGGAACTTAGTGAGAATTACATCGGCATAAAAAAGGACATAGAATTTATGAATAAGGATGAGTTGGAAATGAAGAATTTACTAGGAGTTAAAAACAGGCTAGATGAAGCAAAGGATAAAATTAACAATGTGGAAGACAAGATAAAAAATAAAACACCCAATCAGAAAACAAAAAAAGACATTTAAATAATGAGGATAGTTTAAGAGAAGTTTGGGTCACTGTAAAACATAACAATATCTGCATCATAGAGGTACCAGAATAATAAAAGAGGGAGCAAGAAAGAGAAAACCTGACTGATGAAATAATGACAAAAAACTCCTCCAACTGGCTGAAGGAAAAAGTCACACAAGTTTAAGAAGTGCAAACAGTTCCAATCAACACACACTCAAACAGAACATACCAAAATACATCATAATTAAAATGGCCAAGTTTAAAGACAAAGAGAGAATCTTAAAGGCAGCAAGAGAGAAACAGTTAGTTACCTACAAGGAATCCCTATAAGTCTGTCAGCTGATTTCTCAATAGAAACACTTTAGGCCAGAAGGGATTGACAGAAAGTATTCAGAGTAATAAAAAGCAAGGACCTGCAAACAAAACTACCATCTCCAGCAGGCTAACAGTTAAAATTAAAGATGAAATAGATTCTCAGCCCCCCCCCAAAAAGGCTAAAGGAGTTCATTACCAGCAAACCTGCACTGTAAGAGGTATTAAAGGGACAGTCTAAGAAGAAAAAGAAATAGAGTAATACAGGTATAAAGAAAA